CATGGCAAATAATGCCACTTCTTCTTTCTGGGCTTTGGTTTCCTTTTCTCTAAGAGGAAAGACTTTACCAGAGGGCAACTGAAGTCCTTTTCAACTCTTTTTTATACGGCTATAAAATCCTCTATTTTCTCCTCCAGAGTTGGACAGTATTTGCAGTTCTGAGAACATCACAAATTCTCAGTACTTCCTAAATAGCTTTTACAAATATTTAGAGGAAATAAGGTATGCATTATTTCTGGAAGGGGCAGAGTACTGCAAGGAAAGACCTTTCCCCTAATTTTACTGCCCTAGAAATTAACTTCCTATTGCTGCTTTCAGTAAGTCCCTTGGTTGTCTGCACTGTTGTCTGTTTAGAATTATTATATGTTGGTTATTCCTACATCTTACTGTTATTCTCCTTTGACGTCTTTTGGTAGCACTTGGAGTACTAACCTTGGATTCTTGAAAGTTGTTCCAGAGAGACAGAAATTTAGGAAGGTCTTACACCAAGCCAGAAAGGCCTTATGTCCAGGCCCAGTGATATATTTAAGTCTCCTTTTTCAAGAACAGTTTGGCTAAGCATACAGAGGCTTAACTTCAGAGGGTCAGCCACTGAGTGATGAATTTTTTTCAACCACACAGATATCTAAGGCACAGAAAGTAAGGTAGAAGGAGAACCTCTACCTTTAAATAACAATTCTTTAAAATCATCTCTAAAACAGCATATAGTAACAAGAAAATACAATGCAAACATTCTGCATAAACGACCACTTTAATCCTAATATTAAAATTCCAATGGTAATTTAAAAAATTGGCCTACTGCTATTTGAGATTCTGTCATGTCCTTAGCATTATGAGAAGCACTATGGATACCAAAGAAACTTAAGATATGTTCCACCCACAAGGACCATACAATCTGGTTAGGAAGATAACACACATATACACACATGTGATGAAGATGGCATCTCATATAACAGCATTATTTATACACACACAGACACACTGTTAAAATAAAATGCTAAATTGTGTGGACAGAGACATTTAGACAACAGGCAATAATGAGCATCTTGCCTGAAAGACACTTTCTTATGTACACAAACGGGCCACAGATTAGTTTGCCTCTAAATCTCTCCTTCCCACCCCTAAGCTTCTCCCACCTGAGAACATTTTTCAATTTTTATTTTTCTTATCTGAGTTGATTTTGCTTTCAAATCCTTCTAGGAATGGTGCATATGCCTAGCAACGGTTATCAAAGCCTGCAGATGATCAGCATTTCCACAATAAAACAATCCCTTTATCTGCTGTTTTGTAGTTTCTGACTTTGCATATCATCTGATTATATTTTCATTTCCAGTTCTCTTTGTGCAAATGTTGAAACTGAACAAGTTACTTCATCTAGCTTTCCCCCAACTTCCCCAGACAGGCCCTGTGTAATTCCCCACATGCCTGTGGGGACCCACACAGGGAGTCCCTGCTCGTAAGGCATCCCAAGTTGGCACGTGGCATGCCTTTTCCAATATAAATGGTAGTTACATGTATTTGAGATAGTCCCATACTTCAACTAGCTATTTATATTTTTGTGGGTTGGTCTGGGAATCTAACCACCATCTATAATGTTGTTGCATGGGAAAAACCAATCCAAGTTCCCCAAACCACTTATAAATGGACTTTTTCAACTTGAGGACTGTTTGCATACAATAAAGTGCTATGATAGAGATAATACATGCAAAAGAAGTGAGAGAAAGAAGGCATCAGCCAGGGTGGATTTAAACTCCTTTTTTCTGCAGTGGTCCACAACTACTCATTCCCTGCCACACAAGGGAAGTCTCTTCCTTAAGAATTCTCATTTTACAAATGAGAAAGTAAAGGAGGAAATCAAAGAGCTGCTAAAGGTTAGCAATGAATTAGTGATATAGGTAAAACCTCATTGAAATGAGCTGGGGGGGGTGGGTGGGAGCATGCAGATTCTTTTGTTGTACAGGAGTTTTGTCCTAACAAAGTCAGCAAGCAGATTCTTGACTGGGCCTTGTAACACCTACATCCATTTCCTGATGCTCACTATGAGCCAGAGTCAGAGATTTGGTTAAAAAAAAGGTTCCAGAATAAAGTCTGGGTTCAGTGACAAATCACCAAATTCACCAGTGTGCTATGTATTTTCTATCTTCAAGTCTGGCAACAAGAATAATCATGACTGAACACCTATGGAAGCCTCACTAATCAAAAGGAGATAGAAATATGGTCATTCTGTATTTATTAAGGAAAGAAAGTGGGCCAATACACGTTTATATGATAAATGACTCAATATGGACTAGACTAGCCTGAAAAGTTTTCCAGTTTAAATTATAATTCACATTTATATAGCATTTTAAAGTTTAGAAAGCATTTTCTTACAATAACCATGTGAGGAAGATAATGATTAATCCCATTTTACAGAGAATAAAACTGAGGGTCACAAAAATGAAATGACTCAGCCAAGGTTGCCTGGCCTTAAACCTAGGACCACCGACCACAGATTGAGAGCTCTTGCCACTACACCCAATTGATACAAACACAGTAGAATCTTGGCCTGGCCACTCAATAACTGGGTAATCTTGACTGAGTCACTTCCTCTCTGGGTGACCTTGATTTCTCCAACTGTAAAAATGGGAATACTATTTTTATCAACTACCTCACAGGAAAGTAAGAAAAGTGAACTATTTAGCATAAACGTGTTATTAAACTTTTTTCAGGGCAGTCTAGCTTAGCAGAGACCAAAGGCCTGCGTCCTTGAGCACCTACATATTGTAGGCATTATGGAAACTGTGACCAGCTCACATGGAACTAAAGCAAAGTTGCTGAGACATGGAAAGGCAAATTAGTGACTGGATAAGGGAGAGGGGCATATGGAACAGTTTTTGTGGCATTTTTAGGAGCAGCTTGTCTGGGACTGACCATTTTTCCCTAAGGTCAGCCCTACATGTAATTTCTAAATAATTTTTTTTTAAATGGGGGAGTAACTGGAAATAAGGGGTAAGCAAGGTAGGTAGTTATCTACTGCACATATTTTTAAATTAAAAAAAAAAATCTTCCTGTCTGAGACACCGAGGTAATTACTTCTAGAAACTTCTGTTAAACTCTAACACCTATAACAATAGTTTTCAATTCTTTAATTGTCTTGACTCTCAGGTAAGATAAGGTAACAAAAAGATAGCCAAAGTTTTCTTTATCAGAGCCAAAAGATAAAACATATGAAAGGAAAGGAAGAATTTATTAGTCTGATTTTTTTTGGGTCCAGTTGACTGCTTCAGGCTCTCAATCCTTCACACTATAACAGGGATGGGGCCAAATCCAAGACACTATTTCATGGCCTGAAACAGGTGGGCCATTCCTGCCACTCATGATGTGGACAGGTTCTAGAAGGCTCTAGAAAGTAGATTACCATGCCTATCATGAAGCTAGAAGGAAATGAAGTACCCTGCAAAGGCACTTCAAACTTCAAAATGTCTCCATTGTCCTCAGAAATTCACATGAGGTAAAGAGAATTAAAAAAAAATACACAAATATGACTGTCATAATTATCCATGATTTTAATGGAATTTAGCAGCTAAATAATATGGAAAAAAGTCTTTTTAAGGGATGGAGGGGGAAGCTATAGTACTATTATATTTTTTGAATATAACTTTTTTCATTTAGTTTCCAGCTACTCATTTCCCCCTAAAAACTAAACTAAAACTGAAAAAAATATCATTAGCAGAACTGTGTCTGAAGCAGGGAAACCTTGTAGGCATTTTCTATAAACACAGATGACTCTTTAAGAAAAATAGTCATTTGGGAACCACATTTTTCAATTTTCATTTTTCTTATCTGCATTGATTGTGATTGCAATTCCAACTCGGTTTTATCTGCCCTCAACCAGGCTAGGAATGGTGTATATGCCTAATAGTGGAATCTATGAGCCAAAGAATACGAAAATGTTACCTTTTTTAAAAGCAAAATTTCAACCTTTTTCAAACTAGTTGGATTATTTCACATATTATTTTATCAGTTGGATTAATTTCCTCCAACACTGAGTGACTCCATCTTTTGTCACTTTGCCATTCTGCTGAACATGTGAGATTCCTTAAGTTGTTTTAATTCACATTTCTTTCGGTGTAATTTGGAGCTAATCAAATAAGCGATTTGGAGCAATCTTTCATATGGTTGTTAATTCTTTGAAACTCTTCTTTTGAGAATTGTTTGTCTACATATTTTACCATTTATTCACTAGGGAATGGCTATGGGTAATACAGATTTGTATTACTTTCAAACATATGTATATGTGTGTGTATATATGTATGTATGTATATGAAATACCAGACCCTTATCAGAGATATGCACAAAGATTCCCCCCTCCATCTATGATTTCCTTTCTTATCCTAGCTTTTCAATTTCATGTAATCAAAATGACCTCTTTTATCTTTTGTGATCTCCTCTATCCCTTTCTGGGGGTGACCCTCCTTTCTACTTGCTCTTCCAAGGCAGCTCCTCTGGTGGTATGTAAAACCTCCTGGTTGGTCATTAGGGGTAGCTATAAAGCTGCAGAAGTTTCACAAGGAATTTGGAGTACAAAAACTTCAGGGGTCAGGGACAACATGTTTGTATTGTGACATTCAAATGAATGTGCTGAGTCACTGAAGGCATTATTTATAGTACAGCCTAGATGACTTTCTGCTCTACTAACCCTTTCCTTAGCTTAGTAACTCCTGCATGGCTCTTTTGCATGCACCCAGTGACTCCTCAAAAACTCCAATAATGCTGACTCAGGGTGAGGATGCTGGCTGCTGAGGGATGCTGTGTCTACAGATTTCTTTCAGGGAAGTGGTTAATCAGACCCTCCCTTTCTTTCTTTGGCTGATCTTCTTGTTGGCTTAAAAATAGCACAGACTTTGCAGTTGCTCTTCTTTCTAGGTTCCAGCATTTACATGAGTGCCTACTTTGAGCTTGGCCCTGAACTAGGCACTGTTACCACACTGTACAAACTCTTTCCAATTTCTATGTAGGGACTGGGCAACGGTGAGCTCCAATGGAAAGTGAAAAAAATATTAAGGACCCTCCCAAACAAAGTGAAATGCCAACACATTCTGCAAAAGCTTCAATTCACATTATATGTGTTTGTGATAGCACAATAAAGGGAACAAGGAAACCCACAGAAGAGTTGTGAAACACACTCCTCTTGAATTCTTGTTTGTTTGTTTTTTAAACAACAGCAGAGAAAGAACAGGAGGAAAAGACAAGGTCTAGTCTGAGTCAACAGGAATGAAGATACCAACTTTTAGGTAGCACTTTAATGGAAGGATTCTCCACCTCTAAGTGCCCCAGGTTATAAATCTCAGGGGAAAGAGTCCTTGATTTGGTCACTTCTGTGACCAAAAGCCGGAAACGTAAATGAGATGTGGAGCCCAAGGTGACTAAGGTATGATGTTCTCTTTTTTCTGGTTTCTTTCATGTCCTAACTTAACTTCCTACCTCTACTCTCTCAGCTTCCAATCCAACCTGCACACTTTGCCAAGTTAATCTACAGTATAAATCTAATCACTTTTCTGCTCAACCTTCAATGACTCCCCCACCCCCGAAAAACACTGAATTTAGCCTGGCAGTCAAGACCCTCTGACCTCCCATTCTAGTTTTACATCTCCCTAATCTCCTACGGTTACACTACATTTCAGCTACAGCAGACAATTCATTTTCTTTAAACACCCCCTGTTTTCTCTCCTCTGTGGCTTTGCTCACGCTGGCTGTTCCCTGCACCTAAATTCCATCTTCTTCACCTTATCTGTTGAAATCCTACTCATCCCTCCAGGTGAGCTTGAATGCTATCTCTTTCATGAAGTCTTCCTTTTCCATCTCTGGGCATCAATAAACTCTTATGCACTTATTACATTCTCCTTAGTATTCAAGTTATCAGAGTACAGCTCTAACAATTCCTGCTAAACAACGAACTATTTGAGGCCAGAGGTTGCATCTTACTCTTCATCTACTCCCACTGCCCTATAGCACAGGGTATTATACCTAGTGGTGCCCAGTAAATGTTTCCTCAAGGAAATGATAAATGAATATTAATAATGAGAGCAACACTAATACTGTAACTTCTTTGTTTTGAATTGGATTTTAAACTGCTCTCAAAATATTTTTGGGCAGATTCTATCTTTTCTATCAAGACCAGAAAGAAAAACTTGAAGGGTTCAAAGAGAAAGGCGACGAATGGCCCAAATGCGCACTTCAGCAAATTCTCGGTTGAGGCCCAGCATGACGAGGTACAACGACAGATCAGAGACAGGTAGGCATCCACGGTGAAAGGGTATGTGCACAACAGCGCTAGCTGTGGATAAATTCAGTTACTGCTGTATCAACTAACACATATTTATCATCTGAGCACTCCACATGACAGAGCTGCCAGAAATGTTAGTGCACATCTGGAGAGCTGTGTTCAGTTCTGCATGACACATCTTAGGAGGAACACCAACAAGCTGGAGCACATCCAGAGGGTGGGGTGAGCAGGATGGAGGAGATCCCGGAGACCATCCTGGAGACCATACTGTATAAGGGCTGGTTGGAAGAATTAGATAGGTTTAACCTTGAAAAGAGAAAGACGGATGAAGGATTTAGAGTGAGTTTGGGACATATTAGCTGTTAAAGTATTTGAAAGATCACAAGGAAGAACAGACATGTTCTTCTTGGTTCCAGAACATAACCAAGACCAACGTTAGAGAGAAGCACAGTTCAACTTAACCAATTCTACAGGAGCAGATTTCAGCTCAATTCAAGGAAGAACTTTCCATTACACCTGTCCAAAAATGGAATGGGTTAATAGTAGGGTCCATAGTGCTGAGGGTGTTCAACCCAATGGCCCACTGTTGAAGATTTAAAGAAGGGATTTACAAATATTGGGAAGGAGGTTAATTCTAAATTGCAGAGAAGGTATCTTAATAGGGAAAAAATGTTTAAGACATGACTTGTGAAGCCAAGGGGTTTATAGTATAATTGAGGAGACAAAAGTCATAAATATGACAAAATCAGGGAATCTGTGGCAGGCAGTGGTTGGAGGAGAGGGAAGAAAAAAGTGAGAGAGGAAGGATAGAGAATAGGAGTTAGTCTTTATGTTCTCTGGACAGCTAGGTGCCAGAGTGGATAGAGTACTGGGCCTGGAGTCAGGGAGACTCATTTTCCTGGGTTCAAATCTGGCCTCAGACATTAACTAGCTGTGTGACCCTGACCAAATCACTCCACCCTGCTTACCTCAGTTTCCTCTTCTGTCAAATGAGCTGGAGAAGGAAATGGCAAACCACTCCAGCATCTTTGCCAATAAAACCCCAAATGGGGTCACAGAGAGTCAGACACAACTGAACAACAACAAGAACAATAACAACAGAATTCTACTCTGTCTTTGGCCACCACGGGAATATTTTTTAAAGGGAAAAGACTTGAAAGAAAGGACAAAAATATTCAGGCAATTAGGGTTTTCAATAGGGATATGTAAATAATGTCATTATGAAGAGAACATTCATCATAAATGGGCTGATGCAGTACAGACTGTCTTTCCCACTTGGTCTTCCTAAAGGCTTCTGATTCCATTTCTGGATAACCTGATTTCTTATGACAACACTTGGCGTGCATCAGGCCCAGATGTCAGTTGCAATGCATTTCCCAGAAGTCATGTCAGCTCCAATTAGCTTCCTTGATGGAAAAGATAACAGATTGTGTCTTTGGACCAAACTCCACTTTTTTCTAAGCTATAATAGGCTTGTTTTTTTTTAATGGAAAATGATCATGTAAACCCACTGCTTTTACACAGCTTTGCTTGGAACACAAAACTCTTTACTCGAGCCTGGCTTGTATCACTAAACATGCAATTGTGAAATTAGTGACTCAGGAAGAAGACAAAGCTTTGGTTTCCACACAAGTGTCTCCTTAATAATCAGAACTAATGAGAAAGCAAAACTGGAACTAGGGCACTTGGAGTTCAGATCTATGTTTGCCTAAGAGAGGCAAGCGTTTGTCATGACTTACTAATCCTGCCGGAGTTGAGATGTGCAGAAAACCCAAGATTTGGGAATCAGCACTGTCATAGTTACTTTATAGAAAAACCCTGGTTGCCTACAAAGTTCACAGGCAGTGAGATGAGGCCACAGAAAGGAAACTTTGAGTTGTTTTAGGAAAAGCAAGTTAAAATGACACAATATCTTGGCTTATAAAGGCTGCATAATTGCATAACCTGGGTATAAGCAGTAACATGGAAAGCAATCTAGAATGAAACCTTTGAAGAATATTTCCATATATGGTGTTTTATTTTTATATGTCTCTACATGGTACACTGGTAAATATTTAACAACTCTGAAAAAAAGTATGTGGAATATATTTTTAAGTTTAATGAGTAGCAGGAACCATTTTTTCCATCACTTTGTTAAGTCTTGACAATCAAAAGAACAATAAATCAAGCTCTGATTTGTGACTTTGCTGATTTCTGAGGTGTGAATGCTTACACTGAAAATGTAATAATCAGTTTGGGCTAGTGCTAGCACACCCCGGCATACACTGTACTATCTTCTTCTTCTTCTTCTTTTTTTTTGGCAATTGGGGTTAAGTGACTTGCCCAGGGTCACACAGCTAGTGTGTCAAGTGTTTGGTCTAAGGCTGGATTTGAACTCAGGTCCTCCTAACTTCAGGGCCAGTGCTCTATCCACTGTGCCACCTAGCTGCCCCCACACTGTACTATCTTCTTAACTAGCCTCTCTGCTTCTAATCTTTCTTGCTTTCAACCCACTCTACATACTGTTGCTGGATTATAAAACAATGCTTTCATGAAGCTAATTCCCAGTTTAAATACCTAAGATGGCTCTTTGTGGCCTGACATTAAGTTCTAAATCCTCAGTCTGGCCTTGAGGGTTATCAAAATCTCACCTTCCCAAGAAATTCTTTGATAGAGTCAAGCCATCAGATACAACATGCTCCATTTTGTCACAGTATCTTTGTTTTGGCGTGTAAGATTTACCTGGGGGAGGTATGGTTTAGCAGAAAGAATAATCGATTTGGAGTCAGGGGACATGGTTCCAAACCAGCCTCTGCTACTTAATTGGCTGTGTGATCCTAATTAGGCAAGCAGCCTCACTTCTCTGAACATCATTCTTCCACTGTAAAATGAAGCCTTAAACTAGATGATCCCTAAGGAACCATGAGCTATGATTCTTCCTCTCCTTTAAGCCTGGTTATAGACTTTCTCAGTGCTCCAGTACAAGTTCTATTTCTTCCAGGAATGTTTCCTATACAAACAGGCACCAGGCTTATGGGAGAAATATGGAACCTGTATTAGAGCTGCAAGAAGAGAGATTTTAAGTTGTGGACATTATGAATCCCACTGGACTGGTGATCTGGGAGGGTGAAGACTAATTTTCATTGCTGTTTCTCCCACTTCCGACCTATCCTGTGTTTATGGTCATAATCTTAAGATGCGTGAAGGTACTCTCATCCTCTTTCCTGCGTTATATGTAGTGGGAGCCCCCTCTTCTCCTCAAACCCTAAGATACAGGAGGGCAAGTGGGAAAAGGTTTATGAGACAGTGGGAGGATTTTTTCCTTACAGGTACATTTGACATATCCTTTCAATTTATGATATATTCAACAAACTATTCAGTCACATTATGGTAAGTGTTTAAATCTATGAATTGGGAAGCAGTAAACAGAGAGGGGAGCCCAGCCAGATAAGGCAGAGGCCATGAGCTTTTACTGATTGTGAATTTTTAAATTTAAATATTTCATCTCCTAGATTAATTCTGTACCTGGCTATTAGAGATTTATTCAAATTAGTAAGTGCTGCTGCTTGAAGCTTTGAATTTAGTGGTGGAAGGGGCAGTCTAAGCACCTTCAGGCTCCATGCCCCCAGGGTAGCCAGTGTGGATACTGGTTATACCATGATTAGACCTTAGGTATTATACAAACTAAAGAATACAGTGGCACTGTATCTTCTAATAGGCTTAAGGAAGGCACCACTTGGCCGAGAGCAGATTTGTACTGCTTGTACTGTACAGTGTCACAAACCATGTGGACATACTCAGTTGTATAGAAATCTAATGATGCGGATTTGTATAGTGTCACACACCACGGGGACATACTCAATTGTATAGAAATCCAATGATGCAGATTCGATCCAAAGATTCCTTTTGGTCCCTGTCCTTGTCTGGCCAGGGAAAAAGAGATTGCACACATAACTCCTCCCATATGACTTAGTTATATCCTGAAAATAATAATCACTTGACTAGATCTATGGGCTGATTTTATATTGAATTAGACAAAGGAAACTAGAGCTTTTTAGAAAGCCATTACTCTAGGTTAAACAGACAAGGCTAAACATAGGAGTTGGTAGAATTCCTTTGCAATCAGAGGCTATGTTAATGGATATTGATCAATCACTCTAGCTATTTCTGCCCCTCGCCTTTTGGGTGAAGGTGCTGATCTAACCAGCCTTCCTCGCTAACAAAATACTATAAGTTTTGGCCACTGGAGCTGAATACACAAGAAGTGGTCACATCAGTTATGAGGTAATCAAAGCTGGCAAGGCATTGCCAAGGTTTTGGCAAATCTTGAAATATTCCAATTTTATTCATGGAAGGAGTCATAAATCTGGGCAAAGTTCCTTTAAAAATACTTTCTTTACTAAATTCTCTTTCAGTTACTTCTCTTACCTTACCTTTTGAGAAAGCAAGAAAAACAAAGCCCTTTGCAAATATGAATAGTCAAGCAAAATGAATTCTCGTTATTAGCTATGTTTAAAAAAAATGCATTAATCTGCACTCTTAAGTCTATCACATCTCTTTCCGGAGTGGACAGCATATTTTATCACAAGACATTTGGAATCGTGGTTGGTTCCATTGTGTTGATCAGTCTTTCAAAGTTGTTTGTCGGGGGCAGCTAGGTGGCACAGTGGATAGAGCACTGTCCCTGGAGTCAGGAGGACCTGAGTTCAAACACAGTCTCAGACACATAATATTTCCTAGCTGTGTGATTCTGGGAAAATTACTTAACCCCAATTGCCTCACAAAAAAAAAAGTTGTCTTTACAGTATTGTCACTTTATAAGTTGTTCTCTTGGTTCTGCTCACTTTACTTTGTATCAGTTCATACAAATCTTCCCAGGTTTTTCAAAAGTCATCTCCCATTCCTCCCACCCCATTGGCTCCTTATAGTTAGATACACACATGCATACATACATAATACACACACACACACACACACACACACACACACACTCAATGCCATGTATGCACACACACACATAACTTATTCAGTCATTTTCCAACTGATGGACACCCCATGAGTTTCCAATTCTTTGTCACCATGAAAAAAGCTGCAATAAATATTTTTGTATATATGAGTTTTTTCCTCATTCTTTGATCTCTTTGCAGTATAGATCTAGTAGTGGTATTGCTGGGTCAAAAGGCATGCACAGTTTAATAGCTTTGGGGGCATGATTCTAAATTATTCTCTACGATGGCTGGATCAGTTCACAACTCCAACAGTACATTAATATGCCTGGTTTCCTTCAGCCTTTCTAGCATTTGTAATTTTCCTTTTCTGTCATCTTGGCCAATCCTACGGGTGTAAGGTGGTACCTCAGAGTTGTTTTAATCTGCATTTCTCTAATTATTAGTGATTTGGAACATTTTTAACAATATGGCTATTGACAGCTTGGATTTCTTCCTCTGCAATTGCCTACTCATATACTTTGACCATTTATCAATGAGCGAATAGCCCTTATAATTTTGAATCAGTTTCTTATATACCTTACAAATGAAACCTTTATCAGAGAGACTTGCAGAAAAAATTCCCACCCCCTACTTACCTGCTTCTCTTCTAATTTTTGGCTGAATTGGTTTTGTTTGTGCAAAAACCTCTTAAACTTATGTAATTAAAATTGTCTACTTTACTTCCCATGAACCTCTATCACTTGTATGGTCATGGACTCTCCCTCATCCACAGATCAGACAGGTAATTTCTTCTTTGTTGCTCTAATTTGTTAATTGATTTTTTGATTTTTAGAATTTCTCTTTTGGTATTTAATTGGAGTTTTTATAATTGGAGTTTTTAATATTTGTTAGTTTTCTGGTTTTTTTCAGTTGTATGCCCAATTCATTGATCTGCTCTTTCTCTCTTTTACTGATAAACATACGTAGACATAAAATTTTCCCTAAGTACTACTTTTGTTGTATCCTCAAAATTTTCATGTTGTCTCATTGCTGTCATTATCTCTGATGAGATTATTTATTGTTTCTATGATTTGTTCTCTGATAAACTCATTCTTAGGATTGTTAACTTAATCTCCAATTAATTTTTAATTTTTGCTTCGAGGGCCTTTTATTGGCCATAATTTTTATTGCTTTATGATCATTAAAAGATGCATTTAATATTTCTGCTTTCCTACATTTGTTTGTGAGATTTTTATGCCCTAATACATGGTTAATTTATGTGAAGGTGCCATGTTTTTCAAGCCTCCTTGACAGCTATATCACCTTTGGAGCTTGGGCCACCACTTTTAAGGAGGAACAGGAATTTCTACCTTTGCTCCTGAGACACAATGAGGTGTGTAGAGAGGGAAAGGGCCAGTATTGGCAGCTTCTACATATTATTTTCACTCCTTTCCTTTATGATATTAACTAATACCAAAAGCTAAACTGTTGGGTTGGTGGGTATCAGGATGCATTATAGTCCTGGCATCAGGCTCTGAGCTGAAGTACTATTGGGGTGCAGCAAGTAACAAAAACTTATCCCTATTTAGTGCACATCACTTTGCAGAATCTAAATGAATTTATGCTTAATTTGAATATCTCAATGACGTCTAAGGTCCATTCCTGCTCCAAATCTATGACTTATATTTTATCAGCTCCTTGACTTTAATCCTGAGCTCACTCTTGGCAGTTCTTCAGTGGATGCTTCTTGAACTCTCTTGGATAAGTTATCTTGGGTAAGTCACTTAATCTTTCTGGGCCTCAGTTTCTCCACCTAGGAAATCAGAGGTTTGGATTAGATGACCTCTGACATCCCTTCCATTATTATCCTAAAATGTATACTGCCTGGAACCAATCAAAAACAAAGCACTACAATGTTCAAGTCTTGTTAAGCCTGCTTTAATGAATTGATGGGCAAATTTATAATCAAGATACAACTGTATGCAAGAATATGATCAATTCTTGAGTAGGAGTTGACTTTCTTTAATAGGCTAAATTTGTTCTACCACCATCTTACTTACATGATTGATTTACAAAGCAAATTTATTAGTCACAGAAAACATAAAAGTAAATCCTAGTCCAAGAAAATTGATCATGGAATAATTATTAATAATTTAATGTCCTTGCTTATAAAGTATTTTAAAGTCTTTATTAAGCCATTATATCTTGTTCTTTGAGATGAAAATGATTGTTGATATTTAAAAAATTATCGGCAGTATATTCTGTTGCAGGCGTCTCAAACCGGGGGAAGGATAAAGATTCATAAAGCATATTATGTGCTCTTTGAGACTAAGACATCTTTGAGAAACAAGATAAAGATAGAATATAAAGTTAAACAGGCAACTAGAATTGGAACCAACATCTCTGTACAACAGTAAATGGGATAGGAGTTGTGCATGTTAAAAAAACTCGAAGGCTACAGCAATAGGTCAGCTTGCTGTTACTTAACCTTCAACTCAATAATTACAGAAGACCTTGGATTGAAACAATCAATCAAACAGAGATGTGATCTAAGTGAACAAGGCTTGGATATCTCTATTGAATCAAACAATCAAAGGCATAAATTAGCTATGAACAATCACTCAAAGGAATAGTGAAGTACTTCTGAGCTGCTGGATGATAGCAATGTGGTTTTTATAGAGGACAGTCAGTCCCACCTTGTGGGCTTAGGTAAAAAGATCAGCAGCATGCCTCTAGTAGTGGAAATGGTTCCAGCAAAACCCTGGTGTGGGAATGCTTAGGGGGTAGGGGTGAGGGTGAAGAGAGGAGTCCCCATGTTCTCTCCACCCTACCTTAACTCAAGGATGATCTTGTGGACTTTGAAAGGTTAGAAGACACAGATTTTACCCTGGCATCCTATCATGCTTGTGATACAACACTGGCTGATAACAGCACTTGAATCCAAAGCCAAAGACAAATTAGACATGCTGAGGAAAAGCAACTTCAGGAATCTACAAGAGGTCCAGCAGATGTTATGCCAAAGGGGAACTTTAGAAGGACCCCACAAAGTGAAAAAAGGACTTTCAGCAACCAAGAGTTGTGAGATACCCCTTTGCCCTATGTATCATCTAAACTTGAGCCTCCTTTCTCCAGGACTTTGTATCTACTGGTACAAAAAGTGTGCCCACACTTTAGGGGCATATTTTCTACCACCTCTACTTAACTCTACTTCTTCAGTAAATACCTATTTTCCAAAAGCTAATTAAGTCTGGTTAGCTGTTAATCAAGATGGAGCACTCCAGAGGGACTCATGAATAACAGTATTAGCAAAGCCCCTGGGCCTCTCAGGGTTTCCCCTGGAATTTTAAGGAGAGAAGCAGCAGTTCCTTTCTGGGGCCCTGACCTGTAGTCCAAGTGGGACCTGGAAGCATGACTACAGAGCCTTCACTACCAATGTAAGATGATATTAGTATTCTTCATTATCTCTTTTAAATTTTGTCCAATAGATATAGCAGTAATGAGGAACTTACTGAACATTGGTGGTTCATTTGTAAACTAAGTACATCACTGAAAGAAATATAGCTAGGAGGGGGTTGGGTCAAGTGGGAGACAGGGACAATTAACGGTCTTAGTGAAAATCTGGAGTAGGTTCAGTAGGCATGAAAGAGGGAGAAGCAATAGTAAGGAGGCTGTTCCTCAAACAGAGACAGCACCAAGTTTGAGATATTGATGGCAGAGTATAATTTGTATAAGTTCCAGGGTTATGAATAGGCTGGAGCCTCACAGAGAGTGGGGGTGAAAAGAGTTAAGGAAGAAGAGCTAAGGAGGCTGAGGAACTGATGCCAGAGTATCTGGTGGGTCATCCACAAAGATAATGATGTCACACAGGTATGGAGAGGAGAGAAAAAAGCAGGAGCCAAGCACCTAAATCTACTAGAAAGGTTGAGGTAGGTTATGTAAGCCAGCAGACAAATGACCTGAGTGATTCTGAAGCCAATATAAATAAGCAATACAGATTTTAAGCGAAATAGTCAATATATTATAGGAGAGCCTAGGGATCCAAAAAGATCTTCACAGGTTGGAAAACTGCCTCAAATCTACCAAGATAAAATTCAATAGCTGCACTTTAGCTTAAAAAAAAAATCAACAGTAGAAGAATGGGATAGGATGGCTCAACAGCAATTCACATCACCTTGACATTTTTGTGGACTACAAACTCAATTATGGGTCAAATATGTGACAGGAGCATAATGTCCAGAAAAAGGAAGGTATTAGTCCTTCTGTCTTCTGTCTTGGTCAGGTCACATCTAAACTACTGAATTCAGTTCCAAGCACCATATCTTAGATTCCATGAAACACTGGAACTTTCTTAAATTCTCCTTATTAGTATGTGTTTATATATGTATAATTTATGTAGTATGCATGTATATATATGATACATATATATATTATACACATATTTATTGCATTGAAGTCAATAAAGGATATCTTCAATAAAATGCTTTTCTTTTTTTAAAATTTTTTATGCTTTTCTGCATTTATGAATTTTTATGCCCTAGAACATGACTGTAAAGGTAACATGTTAAAACTAGAACTATGCATGCTTTTTATGATTCTGATTTGGAAATCACCATAGGTCTATCATATTCAACTTGTAAAAATTTAAAAAAAAATTCTCAATTACTTTCTCCTTTATATTTACATCATATTTATCCAGGTGTGAAAGAGGTGTACTGATATCTTCAACAATTAGTTTTAATACGAGACAATATTTAGGCTGAAGAACATATGATACTACAAAAATAAGTGTTGACTGAAAAAAACATACAAAAAAGAATTGTGAGTTCCACTCCTGTCTAGCACATACCTCCAAAGGTCAGGCTGAAACACTGATTTAAATGGTGAGTGGAAACTCTTCTTAATAAACTATACAAATGAGTTGTATGACCTACAAAAGTTCTTTTCTCTCTAGGGCCCTCAGTCTCCTCCTTTGAAAAATGAGAAGATCAGACAAGATGGTTTGTAAGGCTGCTTCTAGATCTGACATTCTCTCGTTCTATATCTACTATGGATAAGTTCCAATTTTTCAGGGTGGGTGATCTCCCACAGAAACAGAATTTCCCAGAGAAGTAAGAGAAATGAACATCACGAGAAAAAAAATCTAAGTATAAAGCAATTTGGGAAGGCTTTCTGTATCAATATTCCCATGAGAAAAGAGGATGATATAGAGGACTTAGAGGAGAAAGGAGTGGAAAAAAGAAAAGAAAAGAAATAAAAGAAGAAAGATGAGAGAACCAAGTGAAGAGGACACTGATTTTCAAACCATCCCCAAGACTCAGGTTTTGCTGGAAGTATCTAGTATAATAAACATTTTAACCACCATCCAGGTCCTGAGTTTGATGCGACCCAGCAGTAGTGTTCTGGGCCTTTCTTCGCTCTCAGAAAAGTTCTCTGCTGAACAGATTGACTTATTTAGAAGACTGATACTGAATTTTAGGGAAGATAATAAATAAAGATACTTCAGTCTTTTTGCCAGAAATGCTTATCCTCTGGGACCTGTCATAGGAAATGTAATTTATGCAGATACTAGATTTAGAAAAAAACAAAATTCTTTGTCTATTTTTAAGAACATTTTCTTTTCTTTTACATTTTACAAATTGAAGGGAAGACTTTTTAGTGTTCTACTTCTTTTTATATTTGTGCAGTACTCTCCTGAAAGCACTGGGCCTGGAGACACAGAACCCAGGTTCAGGCCTCAGCTCTGCTACCACTTCTGAGCCATGAAATACTAGGCGTCATTCACCCTCTCTGAGCCTCAGTTTCCTATCTGGAGAATGAAACAACAACCCCTGTGTTACCCACTTCCTTTGGCTGTTGGAAAAATCAAATGGGAAAAATAACTAAAGCATCTTATAATCATGAAACATTATGTAAAATATTATTATGTTTTTATGTAGTAAAAGCTGGTTTTTCTGGCAGCCAAGTGGCACAGTGGCTACAGCTCTTGACCTGGAGTCAGGAAATCTGAGTTCAAATCTGGCCTCACATACTTATTAGCTGTGTGACCCTGAGTAAGTCAATTACCATTTCTCAGCCTCCATTTCCTCATCTGTAAAACAGGCAGACTAATAGCACCTACCTCCTGGAGTTGTAAGGATGAAGTGAGATAATATTTGTGAAATTCTTTGTAAAACTTATAGAACTATATAAATATTAGCTATAACAATAGTAATTATTATTAGTCAGTCAATTATAACTGACCATTAACTTAGCTACAGTATGAAAGCTGATGGTCATGACAATTCTGTGACATTAATACTGAAGTGACTCCTAACACATCAAAGGCTAAAGTCTATTTGTTACCAATTTAGGGGCAAGGAAATGATATTATTATAACGATCCTACACTAGGCTGGCATTTAAGGGTTTCCCCAAGCTGGGGTCACGCTACCTTTCCAGCCTTATCTCACACTATTTTCATGGAAACAGCACAGTTGAAAGATGACCAGCTCTAGGGTCAAAAGACCTGGAGGACCTGAGTTTAAGTCCCACCTTTGATGCTGTGTGACTATGGGCAAGTTGCTTAACTTTCCTGGGCCTCAGTTTCTTCAACTCTATGGACTCGATGGTCTCTAGGGTGTATGTCAGCTCTCTATTTATGATCCTTCATGAACGCTATGCTCCAGTCAAGCTGGTTTATTTAGAGCCTCCATGGCCATGTTTTTCAGGTTGTTTTGGCCTCTCTCTTTAACTACCTATGCCTCTTCTCCCACCTCCTTCATCACACAGGTTGTGTCCTCTTCCAGTAAAACGTCAGCTACTTCACAGAAGGACCATATTTCATCCTTGTGCCACCCACCCCTTTCACATAGTAGGCTGTTGGCAAATTCTGGTTGGACTGGATTATATCTTTGCCTCATGGCCCCAGTACAACATGATGTTGCTCAGACCCAGCCAAACACTCTGTACTTTTCTTAGGCATCTGTAATAGTCCTTTGGGAGCGTGCTGTCAGCCGGTCAGCTCCATAAGGTCAGGGGCCGTGGATAGGATTGGAAGTTGGAAGGGACCTTAGAAACGATCTAGTTCAACACCATCACTTTATGGATGAGGAGGCAGAAGCTCAGAATGGAAGAATGACTTGTTTAAGGCCGCAAAGGGAGTAAAAACAGCAGAGCTGGGGCTTGAATTCAGGTCTTCTGCTCCAAATCCAGGGTACTTTCTATATGGTCACGCTGCCCTTCCGTACTGCACTTCCCCATCCTAGCCATTCATGTGTAAGAACAAATGGGCTGGTGATACATTTTTGTCTGCCTAAATAGTTGATTAGCCAGAACATGACATTTCTTAATAACGCTCCAACTAGAAGAGAATTTGTTAAAGCACATTTGCTGAGTATTAAAGCAGTGGAGAAAAGCTAAAAATGTAGTAGTGTCTTCAGTCTGAAAGAATAAGAAAGCCCCTGCCCCCTCCCCCAAATAAACTGTTTTGCCACAACCTAAGGTTACTCCATCCTCTAGTTTACCACAGTTTTTGTTGGCTGGCTATTCCTAGATAATGGAGTTTAAAGGAATCTTAGATGCCACAGCCCTCCCTGCCCACACCACTAAAAATGAGAATTTGAGATGAAGGCCAGAGATAGTAAATTTTAATGTTACTAATTTAATACTCAAAGGGAAGGGCAGGCTAAGGGCATGAGGGAAGCATTTTCTTAAAATAATGGCAGCTACAGAAACAAAGCAATATGAATTTATAGGCCAGTTTTGATTTCCTGTTGAGTTGACATATATTTGGCAAACTATACTTACACAAATTATTTTCTCAGGTGTTGGTTCAACTGATTTTCCATTAAGAAACCCTAAGTTTGTTTCCTTTGGGCTTTTGCTTTTTAAATTAGAAGGGAGAGTCAAGCCTGGAATTTCATTGGGAAGAGAGGCAGCTACCAATTGGATATGTGTTGTAATTGTGTAAAGTCAAAGTTCTGAAATTACCAAGTAGGAAATTTCTTAAAGAGACTTAAAATTTACGTTTCTTAGCTATAAAATCTTAATGTGGGGTCCATGGGCCTTTAAGGGGGTCTTGTGGATAGATTTTTTTTTGAGGGGGGTGTGAATTTGGATGGGAAAAATATACCTTTATTTTCACTAACTAAAATTTAGCATTTCCTTCAGTTATGAATATAGGCAACAAAACCTTATTCTAAGAAGGGGTCCTTAGGTTTTACCAGGCTGGCATAGGGGTCAATAACATAAAAAGATTAAGAACCTCTGCTTTAAAGTGAGTGAGGAACTCCTTCTCATCTCATGTCTTTATTTAACCTCCCATTAAATCACAACTAATTTCAAAAAGCACTATCTCCTGAATGACACACAATTTGCTTCAAGTGCTCTCAGCTACACACTGTAAGCTGAATGTTCTTAGTCTACAATGCTCACAGTGAATAACTCAGATTCATGTTGACCTCTCAACCCCAAACGGTTTCAAATGCTTTGTGAGTCTACAATTTAAATAAGTGTGACCTTTTTTGGTTAAGAGCCTAAGTCTGCATAAATGACTCTGCAGTCAGTAAGACATTCTGGGTCTTCCTATGACCTGTTTTTGGTGGTTTTTCATCTGTACTTAGATAAACTTTAGAATCCTTCAAGGTTGACCCTATTGTATCCTTGAATCAAGGTCAGAGAAAGGTATTTTCTGTTTTGTTTGCATTAAAATGGCAACTTTGGCAAACTATACCATGTAAGGGTAAATGAAGAGATTTGTACCTCTTCTGTGAAGTGGGTCTAAGAATCATCTGACCAGACAGACCAAATATTACCTCATCCAAGAAGTTTTTCCTTTAGCAGGAAGTGGTCTCTCCTTCCTTGAATCTTTCATAGCATTATATTTAGACCTTGTCCATATAGTTATATATTCTACTTGGTACGATGACCATTTGCACGTATGTATCACCCCCCCAAAAAAAAAAGCACAGAAGTTCTGGAAGCAGGGACTATGACTTGCGTTATTGAGTTGTTTCAGTCATGTCTGACTCTTTGTCACCTCATTAGGGGGTTTCTTGGCAGATACACTGGAATGGTCTGCCATTTCCTTCTCCAGCTCATTTTGCAGAAGAGACAACTGAGATTCACTGGGTTAAGTGATTTGCACCAGGTCACATAGCCAGAAAGTGTCTGAGGCAGGTTTTGAAGATGAGTCTTCCTGACTACAGGCCTGGCAAAGTACACACTGTGTCACCTAGCTGCCCCTAGGGACTGGGATATCAGTGGCTGATAAAAAGGACTTTCCTTACACTAACTTGTTATGAGTACTATTATTCCCACATTACAGGTAAGGAAACCAAATGACTTGCCCATGATAGTATGACTAGTGTCAAGAAATTAGTGAATAAATCAGAGACTCTTCAGAATTGGAAGGGACCTCAGAGACTACCTATTCTAGTTCTGAATGATTCTAGCACTTGAATGAGAATGCCCTCTACAACACACCTGACAAATGGTTATTCAGCTAGAATACCTCTGTAATAGATGTACACCTCTACAGTACTCCTTGAGCTGAGTCAGTCCATTCATTACTGGATAGCTCTGGCTGTTAGCAAGTTTTTCCTTAAATCAGGCTTCTATTTGCATCTCTTGTTATTAATTCTGCACTCTGATGAGAACAAGTCTAATCTCTGTTCCATATAACCACGTCCAGGTAAAATGCTGCTTGTTCTTTCAACCATTCCTGACATGGCGTGATCTCTAACATCCTGGTTATTTACTTAAGTGTGGGACTTACAACTGAATGCAATATTCTACCATTGTCTGACCAGGGCAGAGTATAGGAGAGTACAGCAGAGTAGAGCCTGGCCAAGCCTCAGCCCTGGATCACTCCCACAATCTACTGTCTTCACTTCTGATCACATGCTGCTCAACGGAGCTGGAGAAAATCACAAAACCATGCCGTTTGGGTCCACTACAAATTTATGTGACATCATCTCAAATGGGTCCTCTCTGTGGCAAGGCAATCCTTTGTTTACTATCCCACTCACGACAGAGATCTTTCCCAAACTTTTCATCCCTTCTCAAATTCTTAGGGCTCCCCTTTCCCAAACCTCTCAGCTGAGAACTTTGCCTCACATTTCACTGAAAAAAAAAACCCCACAAAAATGTAGACCATTCCATAAGAGTTCTCTCTTCTGCTCTCCTCCTCCTGTCACATTACTCAGATGCCTTTGCTACTTATCTCCTCCTTTGCCCTGCCTCGCAGTCTCCAAAACTGAACTCATCTCTTCCCTTTCCCCAACCCTTCTCCTTTCCTCTCTTTCCTATTACATTCCAGGGCATCACCATGCTTCCAGTTCTCCAGCCTCACAGCTTAGGAATCCTCTTCAACTCGC